ATCGGGCTCGATTAAGGGGTCGTCCTCGGGTCTTTTGAAAGCAGTAATCGACAGAATTGGCGATCCATCAATCTTTTGATTTTTAACCCTTAGACTTCTGATGTCAACAGAATCCTCAATCTTGCTCCAAGCAGAGTCCTTGTAGATCCAAGTGGTCCTTAGCACGAACCTTGGATGACGAGGTGCAGGTACTCGCAAAGCCTTTGGCCGATGACCAATAATGATCTTTGATGCGGCAATTTCACTGCTAGTGATCCAACCTGGCTTGGCTAAATCTTTAGGCTTGATTGCAATTGGCGGTGCAGCATTGATTGCTTCTTCTATCTCGGAGTCGCTGTGGACGACTCTTTCATCCCCGGCCGGTCCTCTCGGACGGCTTTCTACTGGAAACCCGAAGACTCGTCCTCCGCAGGTGCCGCCAGTTCAACCTTGACTGTACCGGCGTTAAACACCTGAGTTCCAGCAGATTTCTGGGAATCATCAGCGCTTGCTGGGCTCGCTACCGAGTCATCATTTGAGATCACTGGGACTCTACCCTTCATCTTACACTTGATGACTTTACCATCGGGAGCTATAAAGTATGGAACCTTGCCCGCAGGCCAATGGAAATCATATCCATCGTCCATGCATCTTCTCCCAACAGAACAAACCGGTGGCGTGCTTTCCAGTAGATAGCACTCAATGTTTTGCTTCAGTTCAGGCATCGGGATGTTGGTTGATTTGATTCCCTGAACTGGACCATTAGCTGTAATCAAGTTGACCGGCCTACTAGCGTTTTCGATGGGAGCCTCTGGGTAGTAGATAGAGTGATCGTGCCTACTGATCAGATCTTCTTCACTGCCAGTATCGGCGAGGAATTCTAGTCCCGCATTAAAGCTAGAGCATGCTGTTCTTTCCACACTAGAACACAGCTCGCACTTCAACACTGCAACTGGGATCTCACCCTCTTCGCAGTCATCTGTGCACTCGTACTCACAGTGGCTTTCAATCCCATTGAGCATACAGGACATGATCCTGGCAAGCTCGTTCGCTGTTCTTATGGCCGTGCTTAGGTCCTGAACTGGAGGCTTTGGGCAGCTTTCAGCATCCAAGTAACAAACTTCGAAAGTTCGCGGTTTGGTCCTATGCTTCTTACCCTTACCATCCAATGGAATCTCCCGAATGCTTGGCTTCTCCTTGAACCTTAATTTCTTGAACGTTCCTGAAGCATCACCCTTAACGCCTTGCCCATTGGGCACAGCTGCCAGCGCATACGAAATGCAACAAGCTGCCGTGCGTCCGCCAGACTTTTCCTTGCTCTTGGACCTGCCCCTTTGTTTCTTTTCCTTCTTTGCTTTAGGATCCGGGGTCGGACTCCTAGGCTTTTCATCGTTCTTCGCAGGGGCGGCCTGCTCAGTAGGAGCGGCGTCAGTTGGATTGGGCTTATCTTGATGCAGGAACCTACAGTCTTTGCCTTTGTTGCACTTGCCTTTCTTCCAAAAGGTGCAAATCGCGTTGATCTTCTTTTGAGGCGTTCGATGAGGACTTGGGGATCTTGACTTTGGTTTGTGGAGAAACTTACACTTGTCGCCTCTTGTGCATTTTCCTTTCTGGAAGTCGTAACAAACCTGTTGTGTTTTGGGACTCTGAGATCTAGGCGGTGTTCGTTGGCTCGATCCTTTGCTGCTTGTTCTGGATTTTGAGCTACTTCGGGACATGCTTCTTCCACGGCCTCCTCGTGAAGAGGGGCGACGTTCAGATCCGTACGCTGGGGCCCCGTATCTATCGCCATGCGACTTAGCGATGCGGTCACGGTTCTTACGCATCCGTTCTCTAGTTAGATGCTCCCTAATGGCATTGACAAGGAATTCATACGTGTGTACGGGGTTTCCTTCCTTTGCCCTGTCGTACAGCTGAAGATCGTACTTGATGTGGTGGGATTTCCGAATTTCCCTCAGCAAAATGTCCCTCAATGTAACTTCATCCGGAACATGACTCATTCCAGCAATCACCGACTCGAAGTTGTAAAGGAAGGTAGCCAAATCGTCCCCAACCAACTTCACTTTCAAAAGGTCTTCTACGCTATAGAGGCTTCCGACTTCTTCATTAGTCTTAAAGTGTTGATGAAACATCCACAATACTTGTCTTCCCCTGACGGCACGTCCTCCTGTGGCCTCTGTTTCTTTGAAGTTTAGGACTTGCCTTGAAATCTCTCCTCTAGCGACTCTGGTAAGTGCAGCCAACAACTTCGTGTCCAATGTTAAGAATTTCCCAGTGTCATGTAAGGACTTGAGGGTAGCCTCTTTATCATATACTTCCTGCACCCAGCGAAATGCCTCATCCGGGCGATCGCTCGCAGCCCGCACAATCTCGCGGACCGAGATCCGCCACGATCGGTAGGTCTCTGGATTAGGGTAATCGGGAAGCTTGATACTTTCGGCTTCTTTCACCTTTGGTTTGCCCTCTTCATCTTCGGTCTTAGGGGTAAGCAAGCGTGCTGCCCTAATCAATGCCTCAGCTCCGAAATCAACATGTGGAACCCCGTCTGGGTCAACAGTCGCCGGCTTACCCGCTTGGGCAGCTTTAGGAGACTTTTCCTTTTGTGGCTCTCTGTTCTCAAACCCAGGTGGTACAGAAGTTCCTTGCGGAGGTTCCTGAGCTTGCGGCGTTCTTCCGAAGATGTCCTTCATGTTCTCGGGAATCTCAAATGGATTTGAGAACGGGACAGCAGGATTAGGTCCTGGCTTCGGCGTGGCATATTGTTTGCCCGCTTCGTCCGCATTGGCTTCCATTCTTAGGGCTCGTTCTGCGGCAGCCAGTTCATCCTGCAGTCTGTCGTTTTGTGCACTCATTTCAGCGATTTCAGTAATGAAACGCCGTTCCATACTCGCTTCGGTTTCTTCAAGAACTTGTTTGAATCGCATTCCAAGAAAATCAAGATGTTGTGCTTTGTTGCGTTCGCTCTCAGCAATCAGAGTAGTTCTGAGCTTGGCGATTTCCGACTGATGTCGTTGTTGGAAAATTGATTCCAGAATGTTCATTTCATTCCTGCATGTTGCAACTTCGTTCAACAAAAACTTTTCCCTTTGGGATGCGTTGAACTCAAATTCCGCAAACTGTGCTTCGCATTCTGCCATCTTCACCTCATGAAGGCGCTCGGCCTGTTCAGCCATGCCAGCCATTCTCACAAGATTATCATGCGATTGTTGGTTCAGAATGCTTGCGTGTCTTCTTTCAGCATCTGCCTCCGTTCGCTCTATTGCCATTCTTTGTTGTTCGGCTGTTTCACCCTGGTTCACAACATTGTACAAGGTATACTGTACGTTTGAGATGTCGACCGTTGGATTTGAGACAAATGGAGATAGGGTAGGACCCACTGGACCGAAGATCCTATCAAGTGCTTGGGATCCTGAGCTCGGTGCCGTAGGGCCCGCGCCAGCTGCTGTAAGTTGTTCATCAAGCAGTCGATCTCTTGTTTCGTCGTCCATCTCGTCCGATGATACTTCGGTTGTTTCTCCCTTCTCAGTAGTGAGCAGAGAGGGCGAAGTACTCATGTACCAGTGTGAATACCAGTGTAAGAATACCACGGAGACAAAGTCAGCGAATACGGCTGATAACCTATAGAATACACCAAAACCGTTAAGCTATGAGCGGTCGCGCTAACCTTTTACTCAGAGGGCTTGGGCACAATAGTCAGCGGTATATAGTACACAACATGATGACTGTACACGACCATACAAACTCCTACGCAAGCTGCGATGCAAAACTACAGCATTCTCAGTACGGAGTGCGCACAGAAAAGCACACACACACACACACGCGCGCGCGCGCGCGAACGCACGATCGACACTTTCTGTAAGCCCTCAACCCCCGTGATGAGTCATGGCCCCATGCGACTATGCACGGCCCTGAAACCACCGAACACCACCCTTAGGGGGGTAGGGGGGAAGGGGGGGTGGGGGACGATACTTCCTTAAATAGGCCTTATGATGTCCTTATTATGGGCATTAAGGCGCCCTACCCTAATTAAGGTCAAGGTCTGTTGATCCTGATTAAACAAAGCCCTTTCAAGTCCTACTTGGAGGTTCATGGGTAGATATAAGCAGGGTTATAAGTAGGGTTATTATACTTATAACCCATATTAGGGGACTTATCACCCTGCTTATAACTACCCATGAACCCTAAACCCTATACCCTGATAGAATCCCTATAGATCCCTTGAAAGGGACCCTTAAAGGGACCCTTGTAACTACCCATGAAACCTCCAAGCACAAACCCTCAGACCGAAACTCCTACCTCCCGAGCTCCCGACATCCTCCAGTTGAAACCCCGAAGCCTCAAAATGGGAGTTTCCAAAGATAAGGGACCCTAATATAGTTCCCTAAATAGTAGGATCCTTATTACATGGACCCGCATAATAAGGTACCCCGAATTATCCGGAAACCTTAAACCCCCTATAGAGCCCTTTGAAGGAATCCTCATAGCACCCGTTTGGTAGCCCTTTAAAGGATCCCTTAAAGGTGCACCCTAATTGTCTCGGAAACTCCTAAACCCTAAACCCTTTATAGAACCCTTATTATAGATCCACTATAGTAGGGTCCCCTATTTCCGGAAACCCTAAACCCCTATAGAGCCCTTTCAAGGAACCCTCATCAGTACCCTTTTGGTAGCCCTTTAAAGGATCCCTTAAAGGTGCCCCCTAATTTTCTCGAAAACTCCCATAGACCCTAAGCCCTTTAAAGAACCCCTATAGATCCCGTTAAGGAACCCTTAAATCCTGAACCCTAAACCCCAGAACCCTAAAACCCCCAAACCCTAAACCCCCAAACCCTAAACCCCCAAACCCTAAACCCCAAAACCTTCAAACCCCAAAACCCTAGAACCCCAAACCCTAAACCCCCAAACCCTAAACCCCAAAACCCTAAACCCCAAAACCCTATAACCCCAAAACCCTATAACCCCCAAACCCCTAAAACCCTAAACCCCCTTCGATGACCCTGGGAGCAAAACGCAAAGACGGCCTCCTCCGACTGAGCCTCGAGGCCGCCGGCCGCGCCTTTTTTGGGGTTAAAATAGGAGGGCTCCTTTAAAGGGTTCAAGGGGTTGTATAGGGATAGGGTTAAGTACAGGGGTTGTTCAAGGGTTTAGGTGTAGGGTTAAAATAGGAGGGTTCCTTTCAAGGGTTCAAGGGGTTCTATAAGGGATCTATAAGGAGGTTTAGGGTTAAATATGGGAGTTTCCGAAAATAAGGGGTACTTTATCTTGGGGACCTGGAAAAAGGGGTTCTATAGGGTTACGTGTAGGGGCTCCTTTAAAGGGTTCAAGGGGTTGTATAGGGCTAAAATATAAGGGTTCCTTTAAAGGGTTCAAGGGGTTGTATAGGGCTAATATATATATATATATATATATATGGGTTCCTTTCAGGGGTTCAAGGGGTTCTATAAGGGATCTATAAGGGGGTTTAGGGCTCAGGGTGTGTAGGGTTTAGGCTCAGTGGGCGATGGTTTTAGGGTTAAGATTGAGGCCCTTATACGGAATAGGGTTCCTTTGAAGAGTTCCCTACAGGGTTCCATAAGGCATCTACAATAGGGGTCAATGATATAGGGGCTCGTGGCGGAAGCATCCTACTACCCGTTTAAAGGCAGGATACCCCTTCCTAGAAACTCGCAAATGATCAGGCTCGTGTTCTATGATCAGGAACCTACCAAAACAAAGAGCAGTAGTAATTCAGTCACACCCAATATTGAACCCAAGTCAAGCTTGCACGCCGACACCCTCAGTGCTACCACGTGCCTTTGACAGACAGTTCTGTGGAAGCCGCGAAGTCAGCACCATGGCGGTAGATGATGGCCTTGGGGACTTCTTGCCTTAGGGCTGTACCGAAGCTTATGGGACTGAAAGTTTGGGTTTATGCCGCAAATACACTAGATTCCCGAACAACCTTAAACCCTTGACCTGAAGGCTTCAATCTCAAGCCCCTTGCCTGCAAAAATGCAAGGGGCTTTTGTTGCTATGCTGTGCTAGGAGTGTACTACTACTACTACTACTACTACTACTACTACTACTACTACTACTACTACTACTACTACTACTACTACTACTACTACTACTACTCCTGCTGCTGCTGCTACTACTACTACTACGACTACTACTACGGACTATAAACGAGGCTGGCATTGATTATGCACACCCTTACATTCGGGTGTCGTCCGGGTGTCGCTCTTGAATGCAGGCCAGTGCACCGCACAGCGCTCCAGCACAGATTGCTCGACAGCAATGTAGTGCTGCCTCGGATGTAGAGTCTGCTTCTGTGGGTTTAGGGTTTCATTTTTTCGGATACCTCTGAAGCTTACCTTTGGTTAGTAAGGAATGAAGAATGGTAGTAGTAGTAGTAATAATAATAATAATAGTTTACTTGTACCCCATTCCTCCATTCCCTACTAGCCGAAGGTAAGTCAAGGGGCTCTTTTAAGGGTTTAGGTTGAATTTGCCGCTGTGGCTGAGGGTTCCGGGGAGAAGGCTCGGAGTCCGCCCCCGAAGGATCAAGGGACTTCCGAACTGGGGTTTAGGGTTTGGGGTAGGGTTTAGAGTTTAGGGTAACTACTGGGGTTCAGGGTTTTTTGGGGTAGGGCTTAGAGTTTAGGGTAACTACTGGGGTTTAGTTTAGGGTTTTTTGGGGTAGGGTTTAGAGTTTAGGGTAACTACACCCATAACTGCTTGCAGCACTGACTCAGGTATGCATTGCTGTACTTATAAATACACACGAATCTTTGGGCCGAGCCCATTCTGCCCCACTGTAACAGTCTTGCAAGTTACTGCGTCTAACTATAGCATTCGCTAAACGCCGACGTGAACACTACTGCCTATCCATGCGATTTTGATGGTTGGTGCCAGGCTAAGACTTGAAGCTATGCGTGGCGGTTGCAACTATGAGGATCATCATGGACAACACCTTAAACCCTGATACCGCTACCTAACGCCAAATCCGAAACCCGAACCTCATACTGCCCAATACGAGCATGACCCAACATGATTCTTCAAAACCTAATGTAGGAGGCCGGAATAATTAGAATAGGGTTTTGGTTATGCTATACTATAAAGTTGCTAAGGAATCCCACAATAGTATAGGTAATTATTAAACCTCCTAGTATAGATCCCCTGCAGTAGCCCTTACAGTAGCCCTTATACACCCCTTTGAAGGAACCCTACACTCTAAACCCTACATTAGCCGAGGGGCAGCTTGATCCCCTGCTCTGTGGACTTCGTATAGCCTGGCGCTTTTTCCGATCCGCAACCACAGAAGATTCTCTGGGGCGCAGTCTCTTTAAGGAGCCTACTGGGATTATGGTTTAGGGCTTAGGGCTTGGGATTTTGGATCCAACATGCTGTCATAGGGTCTTGTGAGGTGTTATTGTGTTTTATCAGGTTATAAAAGGTTTTATGAGGGTTGCAGTTGAGGGTGTCTGGGCTGCGTTGCGGATTTAGGAGCATGAACTACGTAAGGGTTATGTTGTATGAGGAATCCTTGAACCTTCTTCGTGTTGCAGGCTGAGGCTTGGCTTTGCGCGACTTTGCGCTTCGGGGTTCAAGGCGGTCTTCGTCTCAGCGCAGTGGTCCTCTTGACATCCCGTCTTCAAAGCTTCGTGGCTCTGCATAATATAAGGGTTCATGATGGTTCATGATTCATGTACAGGAAATCCAAGCGGCTCTGCGAACCCTTAAACCCCAAGCCCTGAATCTCAAACGTGAAGATGGCAATCTACGGGCCTCATGGTTTACACCTCGACCATGGGCTCAAAACCCTTCAAACCTAAACCCTGGAAGGATCCCCTGAGCTCGAAACGAAAACCCCTTAACCCCAAAGCCGAAAGGCAGGAAAGCCAAATGCTGGCGTAGTAGTCGCCGACCTGGGGTGGGAGCTGCATCACAGAGGCTTCTCACGCGGCTCTGGCGTAGGCCCGTACTAGTAGTGGCATTAGTAGGAGTAGTAGTAGGAGTAGTAGTAGTAGTAGTAGTAGTAGTAGTAGTAGTAGTAGTAGTAGTAAGTATGACGACTACCGCTGCTGCTGCTACTGCTTCTACTGCTTCTGCTGCTACTGCTGCTGCCGCTGCTACATTGATACCACTTCTGCTACTGCTGCTACTACTACCACCACCACTACAACTACAACTACAAGTACTGCTACTACTACTACTACTACTACTACTACTACTACTACTACTACTACTGCTACTTTTTCTTCTACTTCTACCACCAGTTTCAACAGGTTGATTGTGAGAAGGCTTCCATTTAGGGTTCTACCCTGAAACACCAATGTAAAACCATAGAACACCCTCAGCGCATTCCGCATGCCTGTCGCCAACGGACGAGGCGATGAGTGATGCTGTCGATTTCCTGGGGAAAAGGAAAGCCCTAAACCCTAAACCCTAAACCCTAAACGAAAGGAAGAGCAAGAAGCCGGAAGCCGAAAATTGGGCTATAGGTTTACGCTGTAAGGCTAAATCGCCCTTCCAGTGCAACATAGAATTGCAAACGATCGGAACGTGGTTTGGCGACACAATACATGTTTAGCTCTACGATAGAAATATTTTGCTGAAAGCCGGTGCTTACATCTCCACGCGGACAACTTCTCCATCAAGCCAGAAACCTCCTAACCTTTCTCTCTAAATCCTAAGTTGAATGGGTTTGGCTCCTTGACATTGACCTCTAGACAGCAAACTTGAACCCACTGAACGAAAAGTGACATGCGAATTTATACCGACCCCTCTTCGAGAGCGCACAATCAAGAACAGAACTGAAGGCTAAAGGCTTAGGGTTTGGGTTTTGGCAGCGCCGCGGGATGCGTATCGATCATGTTCTTGATCTCATTGACGATCTCTGGCACCTGCAATGTCACCCCATTAATTAGTTCTTCTTGGGCTGTGTAAGGCGCAAACGCACTTTGCGACCCTAAACCCCTCCGAACCCTCAACAGAACCCTCAAGGGTTCATTTAAGGGTTCTTTCAAGACTACCTTTAACGTTAAGGGTCCTTACGCTGCCGGTCAGCGGAGTATAGGGTCTGCGTTAAAGGAACCCCATTACAGTAGCCTACAATACCCTTTAAGAGAACCCTATTATAGACCCCCCAAAGTACCCTAAACCCTACCTTAACCTACAAAAAGTAGGGTCTCTATACATTCCATATTAGGGTTTATAATAAGAACATACAAAAAGTAGGGTGTAGTAGGTTAAGGTAAAGAACCCTACACTACAGGATCCCGAAAACGGGAGGGGCCTTTGGGATGTCCTCCAAGCGGAGCTTCAGGTCGAAGCGGATGCGGCGATTCCTCGCTAATTCCGAGTTTTTCGTGCTTTTTTAAGGCTTTGGGGATCTCTAGGCTTCATTTCAAGGACTTTTAAGGATTCTCCTTGGGCTCTATAAAAGGTTTGGGGTTTGGGGATGAAGGGTTTAGGGTTTAGGGTTTAGGGTTTGGGGTTTAAGGTTTAGGGTTTGGGGTTTCAGGGTTTAGGGTTTAGGGTTTAGGGTTTAGGGTTTAGGGTTGAGGGTTTAGGATTACATAAGGACCGGCTAAGGAGTCTGTACGACCCGTTTTTGCAGCTTCTACGCGGGTTCGGGTCAAGACTTTCCCTCGAAACGTTTCGCTCGAAACCTATTGGCACCCAAAACCCAAACCCTTAACAGTTTCGATAAAATCCTAAACCCCTAGTTTAGAGAACTGCCCATATGGGAGATTCCGCAAACAGGGGTACCTGATTGTGGGGTCCTTATAATTGTGATCCTACTATTTAGGGTACTATATTAGGGTCCCCTATTTTCGGAAACCCCCATGTGGGTTGCACAAGGAGGGATAACGTGCCGTGGAAACCCCTCTGACTCTGACAGGAGGAGCCTTAGACTTCGAGCATCAGGGATTTACCTGGGCCCCTAATGGGAGTGTCCAAGAATTAGGGGTTACCTTATTTGGGGGTCCTTATAATAAGGATCCTACTTAGGGTACTAAATTAGGGTCCCCTATTTTCGGAAACCCCCGAATAACCTACCACTTTAAGAGCCTATATACGGAAATCTAAGATGTCGGTCCGCCGAGCAGCGTCATGCGGGAGTTGTTCTGAACCAGCATCTGCACGATGCCTGAGCTCAGCAATAATTGTAATCAGGAACGCGCCTGCGTCTGACACTGACACTGACACTACCCTAAGCACCCCCATCGAAAGCCCGAGCTCTTTCGCTGAGATCCTTGCGGAAGTTCGGCACGTAGAGGGGGCGCTTGTCCCACTGGATGACCTTCCTCTGCAGCTTCGGGGTTGCAGCTAACTCGGGCGTCGAAGCTACAGCCTCCACTTGTCGCGATAGAAGTGGTAATCGTGACGATGAAAGTCAGAGCGATAGCTATAGAAATGATAACAGAAATCGAAACAGTAGCAGCAACCGCATTAGTGGTAGTGGTGGTGGTAGTTGTTGCCGTCGTCGCAGCAGCTGCAGCAGCAGGAGTAGCAGCAGCAGCGGAAAAGCAGTAGCAGGAGGAGGAGGAGGAGGATGAGGAGGCCCAGGCTTGATTCGAGTTGAAACGAAACGGCATAACAGCTCTTCTAAAGCCCTTTCGAAATCACATTCTTCAAAACTTTGGAGAAAGCAACCCCTTATAGAACCCCATAACAGAAGACCTTACGGTTGCCACCACGCAGAAAAAGATCCAGAGACCGAGAACTCAACGCAACGGCCCCAGCAGAGCCCCCAGAGGCCGGATGCCAAGGCTTTGTCCGAGACTTGCACGCTATGCTATGCTAGGTGTCGATTTCAGCAGTTCCCAAAAGTATTCATAACCAGGGCTCTGAACTACACAATAAGGGAAGTTAAGACTTGTCCAAAAACGATACAGTACCTAGGTATGTTGATGGGCTGACTATCTGGTCCCAGCTCTAGAAAACCCTGATCACTTAACCCTCAACCTAAACCGCAAAACCCCCAAACCCAAAAAATTCAAATCAACAGGCCCCAAACCCTACACCACTAAACCCTAAATCCTCAACTCTCTCGAGCCTAAACTCCTAAACCCTAAACCCTAGACCCTGAACTCCTAAACCTTAGGCCCTGAACTCCTAAACCCTAGGCCCTAAATTTTAGACGGCTTGCGCCGAAGATGCGCCAGCGCAGGTTGTGGTTTGAAGAGCAGAACGAAAGCGGGTTTGATGGAAAGCAACCGACAACCACAATTCAGTTTAAGTAAATTGGTAAGTTTCTCAAAAAGCAGTTCAAGCAAATTGAAACAAGAGCCCGAACGGAGGTTTAAGTAAATTGAAGGCACCGAAGCAAAGCAAAAGGGAGCAGAGCAGAGCAAGGCAGGGTTGCAGAGCTAAAACGCCCAATTTGGGGGCCCGAACCCCCTCCAAGCCCACAAATTTGGCTTTTTTGCCTTTTCCAGACCCCCTCCAAAGCCGCCAAATCGGGTTTTTTTGCCTTTCTCCAGACCTGTTGTGGCCTTTCTCCAGACCCGCTCCAAAGCACCAGATTGTGCTTTTTTGCCTTTTCCAGACTTCCCAAATTGGGTTTTTTTGCCATTTCCAGACCCCCTCCAAGCCCCCAAATCGGGTTTTTTTGCCTTTCTCCAGACCCCCTCCAAGCCCCCAAATCAGGATTTTTGGCCCGTCTCCAAACCCACTCCAAAGTACCAAATCTGTATTTTTGGCCTTTTCCAGACCCCCTCCAAGCCCCCAAATCGGGTTTTTTGCCTTTCTCCAGACTCCCTCCAAAGCCCCAAATTGTGCTTTTTGGCCTTTTCCAGATCTCTTCCAAACCCCCAAATTGGGCTTTTTTGCCTTTTCCAAACCCCCTCCAAAGCCGCCAAATCAAGTTTTTTTGCCTTTCTCCAGACCCCCTCCACCAAAATGTGCTTTTTTGCCTTTTCCAGACCCCCTCCAAAGCCGCCAAATCGGGTTTTTGGCCTTTCTCCAGACCCCCTCCAAAGCACCGAATTGTGCTTCTTGGCCTTTTCCAGGCCCCCTCCAAGCCCCCAAATCGGGCTTTTTGCCTTTTCCAGACCCCCTCCAAGCCCCCAAATCGGGTTTTTTGCTTTCTCCAAACCCGCTCCAAAACCCCAAATCGGTATTTTTGGCCTTTTCCAGACCCCCCTCCAAGCCCCCAAATCGGTTTTTTTGCCTTTCTCCAGAATCCCTCCAACTCCCCAAATTTCGGGGTTTGGATGGGCTTGGAATTGGGGATTTGGGGCTGGGATTTGGACTGGAATTGGGGATTTGGGGCGTGGGGGCGAAAATGGAATTATCCAAAAACTTTTGGGATTAGGGCTACCGTGTCTTGCCTGACATTGGCAATTGGCAACATGAAACTGCGCCATACTGTCGGCGGCGGCGTAAAAAGACGACAATGGCTGCCACCAGCGTCATAATCAAAGGTCTGGACAACCACATCCGTGCCATGATGCAGTCGGGATGCCGGGATGGAAAAAGGAAGAATAATGCTGGTCTTGGGCACGAGACACGCGGCAGTATGCAAAGAAAGACATCCAAACCGCCAAACATGTGCAAGCACTTGCTGTCTGATCCAAAAGCAATCCAAAAGCAATCCAAAAGCTATCCAACAGTAGTGAAACGGTAGAACGCGACTGAGGCTTGCACGTGGCGGCAAAACTCGTGCCCAGCGCGGTTGCACCTCGACTTATAGGTAAAGGCACAGCAATGAATTACCAATTAGAACCTGCTATCGGACTCGATTCCATCCCAGGCTTGCCCAGCCAAGCCGCCCGGCCTGAATGGATCGAGCACGTCAAGACCATGGCTAACTGTTTGGCGGCAGCTTCGCAGCGCATTATTGCAGCGGTTGCTTGGGTCACTATCAAAGATTCCAGAGATTCCAGAAATTCCAAAAATTCCACGGACCGACACGGCCATCCATACTGCGAAGTGTACCACAAGTGGTCGTTTGTCAACCCAGCTTGGGATACGGCACGAGCACTTCCGGCTTGTGATTTCGACTTATATTTTTTCGTAAAAAACGCCTGACACCTTCTCATGCCCTTACCAAACGATTCTGGTCAGGTTGTCGCGCAGCAGTGCCGGCCGCAAACTCACGCGTATAACTATGTTGCAAGTGTAATCAGTCACAAACACATTACCCGAGACTCTGCGGCAGATGCGATGCGAAAAAGAGGCTGGTGGCAACTTTTATGTGCAGTGACCAAAATAAATGCAAATGCGAGTCAAGGCCTTAGTGGCAACAAAGGTAGGCAACTACAGCGTTCCAGGAATCTCGAGCTTAAACATGCAGCTAAGCGTGAAGAACTGAGTGCCAGACTGCCTCTTTCGATGCAGCGACCAGAAAAGACCTTAGCATCACAAACGCTGAAGTGGTTAAGTGTGATTAAGTACAAATGATGCATGCAGGCACGTGCACACCGCAACTTTTTAACACCACATGAGGATGGAGTATGCCAGTGAAGATGTGTACTCGCCTAGAAAGAGTATGGAAGAGCACCTTCCATCATCAACAGCCTTTTCGCATGCCGTCATGATCTCTTGTCGGAGATCGATAGGCCCATCTCTGATCACGTTTGTCAGCACGTCGACTTCATGACTTGGGCATAAGCGCTGAAGGTAGAATTCATGGGAATGCCAAAGGCTCATAAGTCACAAGGCCGTCATGACTCTGCGATGGCATCATCGGATGCACAGCTGAATCTCGCAAGTCATGGTGATTGCTCATAGGGCATAATACCACAGAGCACGGAAATGCCTTCAAGAGTCGGTGAAATGAATGCAGTTTCCATTCAGGGTTCGTGGTAGTGCTGCTCTGGTCGAGCTGCCGTAAAGGCGTCTTGTTGCCCAGCGTGTTGATGTGTGGGCTGCCAAACACAATGACCGCAGGACTCTCGTTGTGACAATGAGTCTGGACCAGCTTCGGATCCGTAGCATCAACCTCATCAAGGACTTTCAGGTGGCGGTAGACTTGCCGCATCCTGCTCGTCAGAAGGGCTTGTAACCGTCCGGGTTCACCCGCCGATGGGAAACAAAAATCTGTCACGTAGATACGGGTGTTCATCAATGAGGTCAAGGGCTGAGGCAAGCTTGCAGTTCGAAGAACATGGAAATTCATGCATAGCAATGCTTTTGTTTGCCCTTCAAAACAGTCATCGCGAGCCCATTTTGGGGTAGAACGTCGATCTGACCACTCCGGGGCACGATAGTACGTGCACAATTCCGGAAGGAGGAGCCGACCAGATGCATGGCCACATATCTCACACGCCTGCTTGTCGGCTGCGGGGTACCCAATCATCTTTGGGTGGCGTGACGCATCGGTGACTTTGTGGCTCTTCCAGCAGCCGACACAATAAAAGGTTCCATCTGTGGCTTTTGCGCACAGTGCGTACACTTCACCGTGTCTTGCCTGACATTGGCAACATGGAACTGCGCCATACTGTCGGTGGCGGCGTAAAAAGACGACAATGGCTGCCACCAGCGTCATAATCAAAGGTCTGGACAACCACATCCGTGCCATGATGCAGTCGGGATGCCGGGATGGAAAAAGGAAGAATAATGCTGGTCTTGGGCACGAGACACGCTACAGTCTGCAAAGAAAGACATCCAAACCGCCAAACATGTGCAAGCACTTGCTGTCTGATCCAAAAGCAATCCAAAAGCAATCCAAAAGCTATCCAACAGTAGTGAAACGGTAAAACGCGACTGAGGCTTGCACGTAACGGCAAAACTCGTGCCCAGCGCGGTTGCACCTCGACTTATAGGTAAAGGCACAGCAATGAATTACCAATTAGAACCTGCTATCGGACTCGATTCCATCCCAGGCTTGCCCAGCCAAGCCGCCCGGCCTGAATGGATCGAGCACGTCAAGACCATGGCTCACTGTTTGGCGGCAGCTTCGCAGCGCAATGCTGCAGCGGTTGCTTGGGTCACTACCTTAAAGATTCCAGAGATGACAGGGTCAGATCGAGGCTGCAAATCCGTGCGTACGAGACACGCCGTGAAGACCAGGATATTGGCCGGCATAGGGGGCGGCACCTCAGAAAGAAACAACCCTTCAGGGACGAAATGTGGCAAACATAACAGCGTGCTGCAGGCAACAAACACACGCAGCCAGAATGAGTCCAGTCAAGGAACGACCGGCTGCACCCAAAGCCTGCCAGAGTTGTCCTTGCTTGCGCAGTCAGAGTCACGAGAACGACGACAAAATGAGACACGGACACAACTAAAAACAAACCTTACATGATTACGTCGAGACTCTGCGACGACGATTGTGGGAAGCTGCACCGGCGGTTGCACCCCCGTGGCTGTAGAAATAATCATCGGTGGAAGTGTAGCCAATACCGGGAGCGACAGAAGTCAAAGTCTGCAGGCTAGGCAATCGGATGCCCTCCAATCTCTAGGTGCTCGAGCCATGATATTCGTCACTGGCACTTCTGAGCTGTGCAAGTAAGAGCCATGTGAAATACCCAGGCAACACATGGAGTGAGCACATGCGAGCACCTTCTCCAGGATCTCCAGGAAGTGGCGATGTCGCTTGGAAGAGGATGCCACAGCCTGCACAACACGAAAGACGCAAACAAAGAGCTACCAAAGGCAAAGGAAGCCGAACACAAAGGGTGCATGCAGGGCTCTCGATAGGCACTCCTACCATACGAACGGGTTAAGGTGCCCTGAAATCTTAGGGTTGGAGGGAGAGGAAAGGTGGGGTGGCGCAGGACTCCCAAAGCATGCAACTTTTCCAAGCAAAAAGGCGCGACTGCTGCGACCGATCACACCCCCAGACAATCGAGTTTAAGTCTAGGGGCGGCTGTGCGCATCCAAACATGCACCGACGAAGCCGTAACCCGGACAAGCCCGGCGTCCTAACCAACCCAAAAACCCCAACAAACAGAAGCCCTACACAAAACCTGGCTGCCTCTGAGCCCCAAGCCACCTCCCAAAACCGAAAGACCCTGAACACCCAAGCCTCGCGCACTCGGACCTCTCTGCCGAAACCACCTGGAACCCCTGAAGCCTCGCGAGGGAGGGCCCGGCCACACAAAAGCAACGCTGCCGAGCCTGGGCGGAAAGAGAGGAAAACCCCTAACAAACCCTGAACCCCAAGAGCCCCTAAACCCTAGCAAACCCTCTAGCCTAACAAAGCTTCAACCCTACCGAGCCCTAAAGCCTAAGAAACCCTAAACCCTAACAGGGCCCCAAACTCTAACAAAGCCTAAGCCCCAACGAACCCTAGGCCCGAACAAACCTTAAACTCTAACAAATAAACCGCAACAAACCCTCAACCCTAGCAAACACTAACCTTTCCTAAACCCCTTCAAAGCTTCCACCCTGACGAACCCCAGACCCCAACAAACCTTGAACCCCAGAATACCCTGAGCCCTAACAACAAAAGCCCTAAGAGCACGCACTCCAAACCTGGCTGCCTCTGAGCCCCAAGCCACCTCCCAAAACCGAAAGACGCTGAACACCCAAGCCTCGCGCACTCGGACCTCTCTGCCTCGGAGCCCCAAACCACCTGGAACCCTTGAAGCCTCGCGAGGGAGGGCCCGGCCACGCAAAAGCAGCACCGCCGAGCCTGGGCGGAAAGAAAAGGAAAACCCCTAACAACCCCATACCCCCAACAACTCCCAAACCCCAGCAAACCTTTTACCCCAACAAAGCTTCAATCCTCACAGAGCCTTAAAGCCTAACAAACCCTAAGCCCTAGCAGAGCCCCTACCCCCAACGAAGCCTAAACCCTAGCGAACCCTAGGTCGCAACAAACCCTGAAGTCCAACAACTAAACCGCAACAAGCCCCCTAGGAACCCCTAAACCCTGACAAAGACAGAACCCTAACGGATTTCAGACACCAACAAACCTTGAACCCTAGCAGAAGGCCCAACCCCAACAAAGCCTCAACCGTAACGAACCCTGAGCCCCGATACAGCAGGACATCCAACAAATAAACCGCACCAACCCCTACACCTTAGCGGGACCTAAACCCCGGCAAGGCCCAACCCCGACAGTCACCAAACCCTAACAATCCCTGAACCCCCCTGACAAACCCTAGAAACCCTTACAAACCCTAAAGCCCTAGGGAACCTTAAGTCTCAAGATAGCCAAGAACCTAATAAGCAGGCACTCACAACCTGGCGACCTCGGAGCCCCAGCCCGCCTCCCAAAGCCGAAAAAACCTCAACGCCCAGGCCTCGCGCACTCAGACCTCTCAGCATCGGAGCCCCAACGCGCCTCGAACCCCTGAAGCCTTGCGAGCGAGGCCCCGGCCATAACGATGGGGTGCAAACCTGAGGCGAGGCAAAGCGAAGGAGGGCAGGGGAGGGAAGGGCTTGGAGCATGCACTACCGGACAACCTCAACGAGCCCTCGAAACACCCACGAGCCCTAAACCTCAACAAAGCCTACACCGCAACGAACCCCAGGCCGCGACAAACCATGTCGAAGAG